GCCCTCCAGGTTCGTGCTTGCATAATAGTGGTGGCCTACCTCTTAGCCCTCCAGGTTCGTGCTTGCATAATAGTGGTGGCCTACCTCTTAGCCCTATAAACAGTTAGGATATGAGGGTAAAGGAAAAGGAAAATGTAGTGCCTTGAGTGTGATTGATCATAAAGGGGAAATAGAGGGAGGAAGGCAAGGAAAGTGGGATTGGCAAGACATGGACCCCTTGGGAGATTCTGAAAGTAGTTGAAGAGCCAGCCAAAAAAGAAAAAAGTGTACCGCTGCCAGTTCACAAAGCTTGGCGCACAGTGCAAATCCACCACGACAAAAAGAGGCTCGTAGGTGCTGGTGGTTTAAGCCACCAGCACCTCCACGTTTTTAGGCCGTTAACGCGGTGGCTGAATCGGTGTGCCGCGCAGGTCCATATGCATTTGCCTCAGAGCCTCCCCAGAGGGGGCCTTAGACCCCCTGGGGTGCTGGTGGTTTAATAGTGGGAAACCTCCACATAGCACCCAGACCCTGTGAAGAGGACCCTCACAGACCTAGCCTATACTTCAGTGTGTAGGTGTAGCCTAAGCTCTAGATTCCTACATCGTACCCCCCAGTCTGTAGATGGGCACGACTGTGTGTTTGGTGTATTTTCTTTTTCCAAGCTATCCTACAGTGGCCTTTAGGTACACCAGACCCTGCGAAGAGGACCCTCACAGACCTAGCCTATACTTCAGTGGTAGGTGTAGTCTAAGCTCTAGATTCCTACATCGTACCCCCCAGCATGTACATGGACATGACTGTGTTTGGGGTGTTTTCTTTTTCCAAGCTATTTTACAGTGGCCTCTAGGTGCACCGGACCCTGCGAAGAGGACCCTCACAGACCTAGCCTATGCTTCAGTGGTAGGTGTAGTCTAAGCTCTGGATTCCTACATTGTACCCCCCAGTATGTACGTGGACATGACTGTGTGTTTGGTGTATTTTCTTTTTCCAAACTATCCTCCAGTGGCCTCTAGGTGCATCTGTTCAATTGTTTTCTTCCGACCCTCTGAGTGTACCCCTAAACATAAGTACCCTTTGGCAAGTGCACCTTGAAATGACAGCAATCATCAGAACAACCCAAGTACCCAAATCCCCACGGAACCCTCCCACTTGTCTACCTCCGACATACAAAATTTCCTTTGTTGCCTCTTCGAAAATAACGAAGCAGTGTAGTTTCTGGAAAATGTCCAAGGACGGTGGGGTAATCTGGTGCTTTGAAGCAACCAGTCGAGGTTTGCACACGCCTGCGATTCAGAGCAGCTTGGGTCAAGTGAACTCGAATGCCTGAAACATGAGAGGTCATGTTTTTCCAGCATAGGTCTGCATGCACGTTCTCTCTCTCTCTCTCTCTCTCTCTCTCTCTCTCTCTCTCTCTCTCTCTCTCTCTCTCTCTCTCTCTCTCTCCTCCCCGCCAACACACATACCCCCAGCATGGCTCAGTGGATGCCCAAATCAGGCACCCCCATGTTTTTTTTTTGCTTCCCCCCCATCACTTGGCACAAAAGTTGGTTGGGTCCACACAGCCCAAAAATAATTTGAGCAGCACGGATGACTAAGACCCACCAATAGGTCTGTGCAAACGGTCCCCCTGGGAAATATTCCCCTTGGGACCAGCGGACCCATCTTATGCAGACCCTTTTGAGCTCTATTGAGGTGGGTGCACCAGATCGGAACAGACAACGTGGAACATAATATGTGGGGAGAGAGGTATATTGAAAGGCTTGGCAAGGGTTGGGAAAATGAATAAGTTGGGTAATGACCTTGGTTGAAGGTGCCTCAGAGGATGTGAGGGAAAGGAAAAGGTGATAAATGGTTGACCATGTTAGTGCATAGCGCCTATCTTGAATGTGTTTTGTAGTTAACTTGAGTGATTACAATACATAATGCTAAGATGGGGAAAGAGTGTTGATGATTTTGGCGAGGATACTACACTGATGCATCTCGAAATATCATGCATTGGGTCCATATGGGATGAGATTGGAAGACTGTTGCCTGCTATATTGATGAGGAGAAGGGGTTATATAAATGCCGCCTACTTCAAGGCTGTTTTGTCCCTGTTCATCTACCTTCTACGTCTAGCTTGAGTCGAAGACTGACAAAGTGGGTCGTAGTACAAGATTGACCAAGTGTACCATTTGACAAGGAAATGACTTACCTCAGCCCCTCAACATTAAGAGTCTTCTTGCCGTAATAATGGTAGAGTCAAATACTTGGGCCAGATTACTACCTGCTTGTTCGGACTGTTCGGTGGGATGTAGATGTTCTCGATAGGAAGGTCGGGGTGTTGTTGCCAGCATCCTAAGTCTTCCTATCGCTAGAGTCAGCCCACCCAGCTCCCTGCATAGGGTGTAGAAGAGGGCAGGATGCACAACCACATCTGTGATTACTCGGCGTTGAGAGATTAGCCTCTCAACGCGCATGTTAGCCAACACTTGAGCATTGCGAGCGACTCGGGAACCCAAGAAGGGTTGCGCGCTTA